GAAAAGGAGATTGAGGACTACTCTTTATGCCATCCTAGAGCCCTCATCCAGTGGCTGATGGAAGCAGAGACAGACATCCGCAGATATACACTGAGAGGAAATCTTGAATTTAGTTAAAGAGCGGGAGGAATGAAGATCGAAGAAAGCCACAGAATAGAAATATTGGCTTATTTAAATTAATAAATAACAGTATACCCCTATTTGCAATTTTTATTTATGATATATATTTAAGCAGAGGCATTTATAATTAATACAGGCCCCTGTAAAGTGTCCAATGATTAAATAAGAAGAAAGTGATGAAGTTTTTAAAAAATTGACTTAAGGGAGAGGGAGAAGGGACTTACATGTGAAACAAGCTTGTTCCCTAACTTGAACTAATAAAATAAAAAAAACCCAAAACTCAGAGACCCTTTTGTTCATAGAATCAGAGGTTCCACAAAATACAAATAAAAAGTACTCCCAATATACTAAAGGCACGATACAAACATAGAAGACCTGGTGCAGACTCATTCAATCCCAGTCTTTGCTGATTCAGTCTCTGTGAGCTTTTCTCCTTTGATTTACAGTGACTACCACTCCACATGGAAATCAATCTACCTCTCCTTCCAGAGATACCAGTCTTGGGCATGTTCCACAAGGACGCTTCAGCTACCAAAATGACACTTTCTCAATCATGTTCATTCTTGTTGGACTCACAATACCCAGAAATTCAAAACTGCCTAGATGTGCCTCGACTGAAGAATGGTTAAAGAAAACATAGTGCACCCATACAACAAAAACATTACTCTGCTGTTTAAAAAATGATGCCATGAAATTTTCATGCAAATGGATGGAGCAAAAAATATCATTGTGAGTGATGTTACCCAGGGTGATAAATATGATATGAATATGCTTATATGATGATATTATGGGTTAAAAACAGGATAACCAAGCCTCAGCCTAAACACCCAGAGAGACTATGTGTAGTGGAAGAGACTATAAGGAAACAAGGATCTTCCTGATAGTGGGAAATATTCAAGATTTTATGGGTGGACTGGAGGGGCTATGACAGCAGCATAGGGTTGGGATGCAGAGGGAAATGGGTTTGAGAGAGGGAATTCAGGGAGACACAAGTATAATTGAGGGGATTTGAGGGGTAGTATGGAAATCTATTGCAGTAAAGTCTTTGCAAAATATAATAACACAATCCTGATGATGTATGCAAATAATGGGAAGAGACAGATTCCCACTCTAAATCTCTTCTCATCAAACAAAACTTCCATTGCCAGGACTGGTTTACATAAAGTTGAGATGTTGGCTAAAGGCGACTGGTCGAAATCCACAAACACCTCAGACAGATGTTTAGACAATAGTTTTATAACCATATACTGACAGCAAGGGCCCGTAGCTGAGGGATAGTCACACAGAACTCATTGGATGTGGACAGGTCAAGCTTGTGCCTACATACAACCATCATTACTACATCACAGTGTCTTTAGTATAGGAAGGTACTGTTCAGGCTTCCAAAAGAGAAATCAAACTCTAAATCATGCCAAAGTCCTTTGATCTACATTGCAGTCCTGCTTACAAAAAATGCTAGGGCCATTGAAGCACAAAGCTTATGGGAATAATCAACCAAAGTCTGGTTTGAATTAAGGCCACTCTACCACGTGGTACCACTACCTGATACTGCTTTCCTGACCACAAACCAGACACTAGATAGTGTTAAAGGAAACAATGCTGGTTTTCCCCCAGTAGTGAAAAATTAAATCCTAACGGTGTTCTGCTATAGTCATCAGATTTCAGTCCTCCTCAGAGAAGTTTCATCTTGCAGCAACTAGAAACAATTACAGAATCCCCAGTGTAGACACGTGAGAAGAGAGATAGAAACAGACAGAGAACCAAAAATAGAAAGACAGAGAGAGGGAGACAGACAGACAGACGTTGGAACAAAAAGACATTAAAGTGATGTCTCTATGATGTTTCCATCAAATCACTTCTCACAGTGATCATAGAACCCTGAAAGGCACAGGCAGAAAACTTGTAAGAACAAGAGGGGATGGAGGCCACCAGGAGAACACGGACTCTAAATTAATTGAACAAAGCTCATATGCAGTCACAGCGACTGAAGCAGCAGACACAGAGCCTGCATGAGGGCTCTGCACCAGGTCCTCTGTGTCCATAGCAAACTTTCAGCTTAGCATCTTCATGAAACTCCAGACTGTGTGAACCAGGGGGGTCTCTGATTCTTTTCCCTTCTCTACTGCTCTCCAAAATTCATTCTGTTGTCTCCCTTGTCCAGCCTGATTCCTATAGTGTTTTTTTTTATCTTAGTCCGATTAATTTTGCGATGTGTTGTTGCATCTGCTAGAAGCCTGTTCTTTTCTAATGAGGATCACCAATGGGGTGGGACTGGATGACATGGGAGTAGGGCAGGAACCGGGGGTAGTAAAGATAGAGGAAACTCTAATCAGGATATATTGTACAGGAAAAGAAAGGATTTTCAATATGAGGGGTACAGAAGAAATGCCCTGAGGGTAGCTAATTTGATGTCATACTTCAATCACAACCATGTTCTGCAACTGTTCCTGCACAGGGGAAACGCCTCTCGAGACATACTCCATCCTTGTCTCCATACTTTTCCATCAAAGCTAAATGCCTTCCTTAGAAGGGAAGCAATTGAGAAGCATAACTAAGATGGTGTAGATGGCACTCAGCAATTAACAGATTCAGCATTTGAAAATAATGTATCTCCCTTCAGGAATTTCTCTATTATAGTTATGAGCTTCTGCGACTACCATGGATACATAGCATGGGATGTTTAAAGGACTGTGGAACACCTCTTTAGAGAGATGCCCAAGATGCACAATCCATGTGTGGAAGAAACTGCAAGCTTTTTCTCCAAAGCCGTCACTAAATAGCCAAGGAACATTAAAAATCCAAACAACAACTACAGAAAAAATCCAAAAAGACAAAAAAGTTCTTTTAACCCAGATTGGAGGCAGGTGCTAAGATTCCAGCACACAGCATGTGGAGAAAGGTGTATCAGACCCATGACAAAACTGTAAGGAGAGGAATACATGATTGTTTTCTTCATATACGATTATGGAAATACAAACATACCAGCATATTTCTAATGAAATATAGCAACAATTCCCAATATAGCAACACTGCCTTTCTTTTTTTTATAATAACTCTATTACTACAGAGTTTAGGCTATACCTGTACCCTTTCTGGTCCCTAATTTCATCATCCATAAAATGAGGATTAGGTCCCATTTTTGAGGTTTTCTGGCTTCCAAAGTCATCATTGCAAAGTTTGGTGGTATTCTGATGGGTTTGCCTTTATATATAACATTTGGCCAGCCAACTGGTAAAATCCACACTATTTGAAACATACCCCCAAATGATTAGAAAATGAACCACAAGAAAATCAGTGTGCAAACTCTAAAGACAAACATGTAAAACAAACTTAAGTATTGAAAATCTTCCAAGAGTCTTCTTTACAGTATATGGTAATGCAACACCAAATAGTGATAAGGTGTATATAAACTCGAGAATATATGCACACCCATGTCTACAAGAGACTGAAGAACTAAGAAGGGAAGAGATAAAGTATTCATTACTAATGTCACACTAAATGGCCAGATTCCCAAACTTTTCCATGTCAGTCCATTATGGATTTTTGTAATGATCAAATATTGTTATCCTATGAGGAGAAAAACTCCAAAAAAAAACCGGAATAGTTCATCTCACAGTTAATATACATTTTAAGACATCTGGAAGCCTAGCATTGTGGTTCATGCCTATAATCCCAGTACTTGGGAGGTAGAGGTGTATAGACCTCTGTGAGTTCAAGGACAGCATGGTCTAAAAAATTATTAGAGGACAGCCAGTGCTAATTTGCAGAAAAACCCTGTCTCAAGGAACAAACCAAAAATGACATTTATAAAAAAAGACACATTGATACCAGAACAATCAGCAGTATATCTTGAGGTTCTTGGTCTCATTAAAAATCAACTTGTAAAAAAAGACTCAATGTAAATTTGATGACAATGAAAAACATATATTTTAGGGTCATTTTTATCTGTGTGCATTTTGCCTACATACATAAATGTAGTGCCATTGAGTTTCTGATGCTGGAAGAGTTCAGAAGAAGGTATGAGATCCCCAGGAAATGATCTTCCATTAGGGTGCTGAGAACTGACCAAGGGCCTTCTGCAAGAACAAGGGCTCCTAAAAGCTGAGCCATCCCTCCAGCCTCTGCAAGACAATGCTAATGCCTTTAGAGCACTTGTTCTTGCAGAACACCCAGGTTTGGTTCCCAGCATTCACCAACAGGCTCACAACCTTGTATAATTACAGTTCAAGGAATCTGGTGCCATTCCTTCCATGTCTGACTTCTTGGGATTCCAGGTGCCCACATGGTACACCTACACTTATACAGGGAATGAAATAAATTGTCCTAGCAGGAAAATGTGAAAGAAAAAACTGAAAATCAACATGGCAGGTAAGAGTATGTCACAGATTAGGGGGCATATTCAGATGTATTTAAAGGCAAGGTAGGTAGAGAAGTCAGAACCTCC